TTGACAGCTCTGATGAAATTCGTGTTCCTTTGTAACCGTCGAGGCAATACTGCAGCTTAGAGCTGGACTGCAGGAAAATTTAAAGGTTAAAGGTCATTGTGACTTATCATTCGAACAAATCTTCGTCTGATTGGTTTTAGCACCGATGAACGCCTATGAAATACCAAAAGGTTAACAAGAGCAAGAAACCAAAGTTCTGACCGCCTTCGACCAATCTTTTCAAACGAATTGATCAAAATAAATTTGAGACTGACAGGCTGATGACCTCCAATTTCTTTGAGATGAGACAGTGCATTTACTTGAATAAATATGATAACTCACACTACTCGGTGCTTCATAAAGAGGTGGAGCGTCACCGAGCTGTCGAACTCATTAAGAAAGCATTTTCGAGCAAGCTTGGGTACTGCTTGGCACTCGTCATACAGCGAACGCATGGCAGTCAAATCAGAAAATTTCGAATACGTGAAGTGCAACACAACGGCTTCGTCCGCAGCGACATCTCTACGAGTCAACAGGACGTTATGCTTGAACGATTGTTCTGATTGGGTCTAACGTCCAGATGAGATCATGCCATCCAATTAGGGTTGGAGGCACGGCCAATTTTTTCCAGGCATGCCTGTGCCCGCTCCATTTCAAGATCAAAAGGCATACCCCGTGCCCCCAGTCATGCCCGTATCACAATACGTATATTTCCAATATTTACGAAATATATATAAATTTAAATATAATATGTGAATACACTTATAATAAGTAATTTTAACTAAAATATAATTAATATACAATTAATTATGGTTAGAATATATTGAACGATGTTTTATAATTTACAGAACATCGCACAGTATACTTCGAGATGATCTCCACATGCACTATATAACTTAGTATATCACATTCTAAGTACCAGACCATTACACCAGAGAATTTTCACGTTTTCGCTACACCAGATTCTGAGTGCTGTTTCCAGATATTTAAGACCTGGGACTGAGTTCATCAAAAGTTTCGCACCTGAATAGAAATAAAAAAAGAATCATACACGTATATTCCGAAGTTACATTAGGATTAATATATATATACATACAGGCATACCCCATATACAAAATGCAAATGAAGCATACCCCCATGCCCTCGCCCGGGGGCATGCCTTTTTGGCGGTGCCTCCAACCCTACATCCAATATAAGATAACATTCATTAGTACCATGATTTGCACATGAGCCTATCATCTGCATTGAAAAGTGGTCCAGTATGTGACTAGACTACTCAGTTCTCGAAATATGTCGACACAATCGATCACCTCAAACTGGGAACCAAATAATAAAATACGGGAATGAAGTGAAGAGGTGCAGAATGATGGTGCACCCTCTGGAACTTGAAGACACGCAAGTTTGTACGGAGACTAGATAGACGAACTGCTCACGACACTTTTCCATTTTCATAGAAAGCATTACCACTTTTTCTCTTCCTACTAATTACGAGGAGTCAGAAATAAAAGATATCGCTGCTGATAATTTATTTTTCAGATTTATGTGACATGTACTCCTCAGTCATGTTGATTTCACCTTAAAAAACCAGCACCTCTGTTCACACGTTTATAATATAAGGTTATACTAAGAATGCCGAAGATAGTGCAAATTTCAGTTTTATCCCATGATGAGAAAGAACGATTTCTGATCTTAAAGTCAAATTATGTTTTTCTCATTTTTCTCTATTCTCCACAGTCCAAGGATCACCCAATTCCGCCAAAATCGCATGCAAAACTTTTACCAGAACCCAATCTCATGTCGAATTGAGAAAATTTTTAAAAGTCAAAATATTCACTGATTCTAGATAGATCCGCTCTACTACAATTGGAATCGAGTAATAGCCACAGTAATGCTATTTCCCGTTGATTTTGTCTATTCTGAACAGCTAGTGGATGCTTACTCAAATGCAATTTGCAAGTAATTAATCCAATCTAATCACATTGAATAGTTTTAAGTGAACAGTGATTGCGTTTTACTTGACTACCTATGATGCTAATCAGAAGAAGACAACTTTCATAGCTAGTGCTACTCATATATTTTGGAAAAATTGTTTAATTGCTAATTCTAACTACTCTTACACAGATCCCTATTCTCCCAAGCGAAATCACCACGCCTTAATGATTATTAAGCCCTTGATGACAAAGCATTGACGCTAACTTCTAAGCACCGGATAGTTTTTGTAATCTCGTCAATTTAATCTCATCAATCTCGTTTATTAATCTTAAGTGTCTTTTACTATATCCTACTGCTCAGGAAATTTACTCCGAAAAAAACTACCAGTATTCCAAAAACAAAGGAAAACTCTAAACTAAGTAAATATGTTCGTACCAGGAGGATGTGATTAAATTGATCTCCCCTTTTTACCCGAGCTGGAAAGCTTTCTTATTCTCGAGCTTTCTAAGAGGATCCACCGGAATGCCGCCTCATCGACTAAAGCCAAGCCACAAACAAAAATGGCTGAGATTTATATTTTTCTGAGACCTTATGAATGATCTCATCCATAAATTGTGGGGTCCAATATATAAACAATTTTATTTTACTTCAGCTCATCTATGCAAAAACCGAGTCCTCTAATGGGTACCCAATACCCACCCATACCATGGGTATGGCTAGTATTAGAGTTGAGACACAACCTCAAAGGGCATGGCACGGAGCGAGGGCACGGGGCATGCCTAATCCGTATTTAACATGCGAGACATACTTGTATATGTAAAAATGTATATTTATGTATATATATATGTATATTTTAGGGTTATAGACGTATATTTAAGAGTTATAGATTGTGGTATAAGTAGGAAATAAAATTGTTTTCAGTGATTTTGGGTTTTAAGGTCTCATTTCGGTGTTGATTGATACTACTTAGTGTTTTAGTTACATAAATATATATTTTTTTGATACGGTCAAATGTACATACTATAATAAGGGGCATGGACCATACCTTTTGATCTTGAAAGTGGACATGGGCATGCCCCAACAAATTTTGGTATGATTCCAATCCTAGCTAGTATGCATAGTGTATATGAGTTAGATAGCTCAGTCTAACTCATATCTATCTGATTAAGTGTAACCAAGTAACAATGATAGAATAATAGGTATGGAAAAAGTATCATGGTAAGTAGTATTGACATACTCATGGTCAAAGTTTTGAAGGACAATGCAAGACAATGATACTAACATGTACACTCATGTACTAACGTGCCAATATCCAAGAGTTTCCGTTTCTTAGCTAGCGGGCGATTTGCATGGAGAAATTACAATGGGCAGGGACTATTGACCCACTCATGGGCATGGGTAAAGTTTTCAACCTCAATGAAGGACTCTAGACCAACATGTCCGTTCCATTTTTCTTATGTTGGGTGCCAATATCCAAGAGTTTCCGTTTCCTAACTAGCGGCGATTTGCAAAGCTCGAGGTAACTATTAAAACTCTAATTGCAAGGATGATGAATACTTTAACTACAAGCAGACAAATTTTCATAACAGAATTTTGGAGAGAGCGCTGCCCTGGGCCCTGTAAACAATTTTCGATGTCTGAATTGCCATTTTTTCCCCGCTAACGATCAACGACCAAAAATGTTTAACGTGATCGTTCGCTGTAACACTGCAGTTTATGGTGGTTACAACCTGCTGCTGATTTAGGCCTGCCTCTCCAGTAAATTACGTCTGATCGCCGACAAAGTGTGATTACATCCGGAGTTTAGCTAATCTCTTCTCTATAGACTGCACAGTAAATTGATACCATGCTTCAAAAAATTTCAACTATCCGGATAGACAGCATCCCAAACCTCAAATACAAGCTGTGGTCTGATGTTCATCCTAATTGTCTTCGGAATTTTAGGCCATGAATGACCCGATCTACAATTTTTCAGACTCCACATCTACCACTATCTTCTGTACGTTTGGAACGCGGGTAAGGTTTTCTAAAATTTCTGTGGAGATCTGAAAACTGTGTAAAGAATGTCTTCGTTTGACGATTAGCTTCTCCGGAAGGCCAAAGAGAGCCCACCACCGCAGATCCATGCAACTGCATGCATTTGTTATCCCCAGACGACTCTAAGACGATGGATACATCCTGCAAATATAGCTGCCTAGTTCAAAAGGCCATAAATGACGCTGGCATACATATCTTTCATGATCTTGCGCTCTCCCACACACATAAAGTACGACTCTACAAGCTCGTGGTCTGCATCGACATTTTTGTTTTTTCTGCGCACTCAGTCTTGCTTCTGCCACCTCACCACCACGTGTCAGTACAAAGGCCAAGTTGTCCTCGATTCAGCTGCACAAAACCTGAGTCAAAATCTCTCTCTGCTACTCAGAAGCATTTTATTTGTCACCACAACATGTCTCGAGCACTAATGTCCGCCGTACTGTGATAAAGATCCAGGGTGTTTCAATCTACTTCTGGTTACAATACTAAGATCGACCTTGGGGATAGAGAATCTTACATCCGGGTGCAAGCTAGGCTGGATAGAATCATTCTGTACGTAATTGAGGAGCATTGTAAGAGTAAGATAAAGCTTCAAGTTATATACAAGATATCATCATAGGCCTCATAAGCTCTCAGCTTCCAATGCAGCTTGCATCGAAACTCTGGACACGGGCAGTATTCTACTTAATCTCGCAGTCTAGGATGGATTATATTTGACATGATCCATGTTTATCCAAAATCTTACCATCATCTTGCAACCCTGACTCTCGTCATCAAAGTCAATGACCCACCGAGAAATTCTCCTGTAGTGGATTCTATTGGGGAAAAAAATAATCAAATGGACCTTGACTTCATGTCGACAGTGATTCTACAGTTATATAATAAGACATTCTTACGAGCACGAGTTTTCGCAGACATTGTACTTGACCGCGGCAATCGTCAGGTGCTACTTTGAAGCAGTTTTAGGGCCGAATATGTGTTACAGTACAACAAATATGAGATAAATAGTAACTCAGGATGTTGATGTCCCTAGATATCTGTTATCATAGTTCTTGTGTATACAATGTTCCAACCGATCTGTCCGAGAGCGGTCTGTGCTGTATAATTGTTTTAGCTATTGAATCTCAGCTCAGAGCCACTATAAAACGTCACATATTTTGTATGAAGCCTCATTATCTCAACCACGATCAGTCTGAGAATCAGAATACGACCCCAGCTAGCTGTCTGCTTCGACTAATCCACAGCACGGTAAGGATCCTCTGAGTTCATAGTATGATCAGAGTCAGTTCAGCTCGTGTGCATTATTTGCTGATTTTCTTGAGGAGCCCTCGTAGGATTTCTGTCGTCGTGAAAGTGCATGAATTCGGTCGTCAGCTTATTCTCTTGACATGCATTTCCGGGTTGTCTGCTGCGCACGACCAGGCGCTCTCGATTGAGTGCAAATCATGGAGAGTATGACGACTTTGAGAGGAAGAATTCCATCTGTTCTGTTGGCTGCCTTGGTGCTAGCGTTGTCGAGGTTGCATTCCACTGGAGCAGTGGACTGCCTGTTCTACTCGCAACTACTTTGTCAAGGAACAGGTGTGGGATGTTACGGTCTCGCTGAGAACGTCTGTTGCGGTTTACCCGCCGCTTTATGGAGACGTTCACTGAGGGTCCAAAACTCGAACTCCTGTAAATCGACCACCTTATATACCGGTGGCTTCTGTACCACCGAATATTTCAGCTCTGACGGGACCTTCTGCGCTTCTGGATTCCGTTTTACTGGTGGTCGCTGGAACAGAATTTGTCGGCGCCGTCAGCTTTTGGCTGACGTTTCTAATGACGAGCAGCAGGCATGCACCGACGACTCTTCCGGTTGCAAAAACGTTATGGATCCAAACGCCATCGTCTACAATTCTGGTGAAGGTAACTGGATGCTCATCAAGGACAACGCAATGGGGCTCTACGAGCAGCTTACGAATGTTCCCGATTCAGAAAAGGTGGCCTGGCTCACGGCGCAAGGAGCTACGTACACTTCCAAAACAGAGGAGAAGATGATCAATGTTGCCAACTGACATGTTGCAACGTCATCGTTACGATGGTCCTCTGATAATAATGCAGAGCAACACTAGCACCTAAACAAGCCCTCCTGCAGTGTCGTCTTCGAGCACAAAATGTCCTTTTGTCTGCCTCCCCTTACTGTCCCTTTGTCTGCCTATCCTTACTTTCTGTCGCGAGGTGCAGCTTTGGCAGCTTAATGTGTAATACTACGTGTGGCTGCTCAGGCTGTTATTTTCTGTATGCGAAAATAAGCCAAGTAGGATCAGATGTACCACCTTGTCATCTGGCCTGGACATCGTCAATAAAAGCGTTGTGCATGCTCTTTGCAATGCATACCAACACCGAGCCGAGAGTTGAGTAACTGATGGAAAACTCATTTTTAATTACGCAAAAATACTTATAAAAAGAACTACCTATGATGATTTCAGATGAATTATTTTCTCAAGACAAAGTCACTTACAGTTCGCAGATTCTATACCTGGTCGCCTACTACTTTTGTCCCGTGCATGGGTGATAGTGATTGCTCTCAGATGATGAAAAGCAGTCTTCAAGTGTGATATAATTTAATAAATCCACCAATAATAACTGGAGACCTTGGAACAGAGATGGAGACAATGCAGTGTAGACATCTCTACCAGAAGAGTGTCATGAAGTGACCAAGAAAGCTCTGTATTTTGGGTTCCAAGGATCTGAAAGAATTACAGCATCTGTGAGTGTAGTGTGGTTGTTGCTGAGTCTAAGGATTAGGATATAGGACATCGACGAGAATTAGTTGATACCAGTAATCAAATTTTGTCTGTTTGCTTCGGACGGGACATGTATTGAGTAAACAAATTTCGTTCAATATTACATGACTTGTGCTTTCAAGATCTTTTATGTACCAGTACCTGGGGTATATGATTCCGCACAAGTATACTCCGTTGGACGAGCTTATGGATCAGATAATTATTTTGCCAGACCACATTATCCTTGTACCTGCCACCGTTAGAGAGGAGACGTCTCACTTGATAGCTCTGATAAAATTCGTCTTCCTTTATAACCGTCGAGGCAATACTGCAGCTTAGAGCTTGACTGCAGGAAAATTTGAAGGTTATAGGTCACTGTGACTTACCACTGGAACAACTTTTCGTCTGATAAGGTTTTGGCAGCGATGAACGCCTGTGCAATACCAAAATTTTAACAAGAGCAAGAGAGCAAAGTTCTGAACTCCTTCGACGACATTTTTCAGATGAATTGAGCAACATAATATTCGAGACTGACAGACTGAAATTCCTGCAATATCTTTGAGATGAGACAGTGCAATGTATTCCAATGAATATGATAACTCACTCCACTCGGAGCTTCATAAAGAGGTGGAGCCTCACCGTGCTCAACCTGCGTAGAAAGATCCAGATCCCCTAAGTTAGGAAACGGTGACCAGTTTTCACCAAAGGACGTCTGTGAAGGGTCTTGAACACCGTCACTCTCGACAACGTTTTCCTGCAGCACACAAGCAGGCTTTGTTGAGGTTAGAGAGAATCAGAATGCTTCTTACGATTTCCAGGATGCCTTGAGGCATCCTCAAGCTGAGAGGTTTAGTATTTTAAGCAGTTTGTGAGACATAAACTGACAGCAGACGAGCTTTTTATTTAAAAGGACGACCCCATGTGCTGACATACTGTGGAAATACTACAAGGTCAACAGATTCACTGAAGCCCTCCAGTGTAGAGGCAAGAGAATCGTGCGTTTCTCCTCCAGGATTAATCAACTCGTAGACACTGACATGCAACATCCTGGGGTTAATATCCCGCCGTTCATGAGGTTTACGAATCTTCAGAAATATTTCTACGTTTTAGTGAAAGACCTTACACACGAGAGCTATCACGAGATCATGCAAAAGGTTAAAGGACATATATAGTTTCTCATAGTACCATTTTCACACGCATTTTGCCTCAACTTAATGCCTCGATGCTTACCCTGGCCGTATATGTAGCTGCTTCAAGATTTAATGCCTGCCTAACGTACTTTTGGTAGTTGCAAGGTTTGTACTGATAGTCCAGAAGCCAATTTCCTTTCCATATGGGACTGCTCTGTCCATAAAAGCTTCAGAAAATCATTGGACTCTGACGGTACGTAGTGTTCAACTACAACTGCTCAAGTAGCAACAAGAATTCTATCATTTGGATCTCCATGACCGAAGGAAACTTTGCTTCTTCGATTGACAGTGAACAGCCAAAACTGGACGCTAATTCATATGAAACTATATGTCAACCATTGACTTCCAGAGGAGTCATCAACCTTTTTAGCTGATTTTCGCGCAACTTCATGGTACGGGAGTTCGCCATCACGCCCTGCACAATCAGTGGTGGAAGATAAACATTAACATGGAAGATACACACCCAGGAAATGCATAAAATGAAATGTACAGGAGCATTGCCTGGAGCATACTCCCGGGTAAACTTCGAAGACTGGAGAGCTTCGCCGGTGATTCAAGCTCCCCTTCAACGACGATGTAGAACGTGTCGACGCCTTGGCGACGATGGTCATATATCCACAGAAGTAGAACGTGCTAGTCCACGGAGGTGGTGGTTGCCACAGCAATCTGGTGCAATGAACAACGAACAATATGAAAGGCCAGCCTTCTGGGAACAGTCAGACACGAATCCAGACAATTGAACAAATTTTCCCTCCCTCAGCACCAAGCTACATTCAGAGTACAAACAGATTTGAAGTATCACGGCAGACCGTAATCAGAGATTTGATCAGAGAAACGCACTTCCTTCACCTTTCACAACAAAATCCTACAATATAATTTAGAAGGTTTTAGGGAGAAAAGAAGGTAAAAAAAAAGTGCAGCTCGACTCGCTTGAAACGAGCTAAAGAAAAACAATGCGCTTACCGAGTTCGAGAGAGTAGGAAGTTAAGTATTTTTATAATAGAATGAAATCGCTCTGCTGATCATTTTACGAGTGTAACCCACTGCCCTGACTAAGCAGTTGTCAAGTATCCTTACACTTTAAACGCAATACTGCTTATAACCGCAACAACCGGCTAAGGCTCAATATCTTATTCGATGAATATATGCAAAGGAAAAAAATATCTTCTGCACCTCCCCCTTTACATTGAGTATATCCGGAAATATACCCTCTAATTAATGCAACGTCAGGATGAATACTACATTTAAAAAAATTCAAAAAAAAGTGTTGTGTCATCCAATCAATTTGGCCGAGTGGTTAAGGCAACAGACTTGAAATCTGTTAGGCCTTACCCGTGCGGATACGAACCCTGCAAGCGACGAATCAGTTCGCTCTATGCGAGATACTCTGGATGGCAAACGTCGACACATTCCGAAAATATCTATGCCGCTTTCCACAGTGTTCCTCCTCGTGGAGTCTTCTTGGAGACGTTTGCCAATTACGGTAGTAGCTTGCGCAGAACAGCGCGAGTGGAATGAAAAAAGAAAATCTTCGTGGCTTGGATTTAATGTGGATCTTTTCCTCGTGCTCTTTATCTTGGCATAATCCGGATGATGAGAGGTCCGTACTGGAGCTGGACGAGGGAGGAGTCAGCTTACCTTAGTCTGGAGGTATATCCAGACAGTATTAATATTGCAGTATTATTATTAAGTTACTATGCTCTGCAAAGCACCGACCACGTTCCAAACGTGTCGAACTCACGCATTCACTTTTCACAACTTTACTAATTTGGCAGACGAGCTGGAAGTGCGTTACTACTCGTGGAAGGCCAGGGTATCCAACTCGCGTTCGACACTTATCTGGATGACTGATGATGAACGTCACGGCCATATCATAACACCCACACCCCATGCGACGCAAACTGTTCAAAGCCTAGGGCCACTATCGTCACGCTGTATCATATGTGGAATAGGCCCGTTTCTCTTGTGTCAAAATGCTTAAGACGGATGATGTGAATGGAGACTCTAGAGGTCTTAAGTTTACAGTCATGTTTCTTGGACTACAAACCAATACTTTCTAATACGTATTGCTCTCAAAAACACAAACCGTCGGAACGAAAAACTGTAGATAATAATAGAAATTTTACGTGGAGTTGACCTCGATTACGAAAAACACTTAGGTCTTCAAGGTCAGGTCTCGTGTGCTAAATCTTCGCTTCATCGAATTTCATCTAGTCTCCGGCTCTCACTTCCCTGCAATGACAGAGATAGATAGGTTAAAAAACGTAAAACATTTGTACATCTTAAAATTCATCTACTTAATCAGCATGAATACCATCAGATATAGTTTCCAATTCAAATTTTGAACAGTTGGAACATTTTCATCATAATTAATTTATAGAATGAAACTCTAACCATCTATAGTTAGTTAAAAATAAATTAAAAATTACTCAAAATGGAATTATAATCACCTTATAATGAACTATCTATAGTCCCCACTTCATAGATATTTATGTTTGGTAACGAATATCCTAGTTAACACATTCATCTTTATGTATTGTTGACATATACTTAACAACAACATGTTAACAATCCATATATTTATTAAGTAAGGTCTGAGTATAATAGTTAATTCAGAGCAATATTTGAATAATCTTTATGCTTGTTAGAGTTATTCGGCATCAATCCACTAAAAGTGAATTAGATTTTAGAGAATATAACGTATTTTCGTGTAAGTATTTGACATATCTTTACAAGTATGATGAGAATTATTCTATGTATTTCTCATATTTAGAGTTAGATCTTTTTTTGAGTGAATTACTCTCTTCATACCCTGTGAGGTGGCTACTTTTTAGATAGAAAATATAGTAGTATTTTTTTTAGTTTTTTCAATAAATAGTTTTGATCTGATAGAATAAATATCTTATAAATTTCTCTATTCGTATACAATCGACTTAAATAGAATTTCAATAGATAGAACTTAGCATGGTTGTTCTAACGAGCCCAAGAACTCTTGAATTAGATGAGGAATCATTGAGTTATGAGTGTTGGAAGTGGTTGGTACAAATCGGCTCAAGGTTTTTCGGACTTCGCCTCAAAGTTCTTTGGACTTCGGCTCAAGGTTTTATGGACTTCAGACTTCGAACGAAGAGAATTCAGACTTCGGACTTGGAGTGATATGAAGGGTATGATTCCTGGACATCACCAAGGATCAAGTTACCTCATCGAGAGTGAAGAGACAGGTTTATGGGTGAGACTATTTTTAGGTGAGACAATATGGGTTTTCAGTGTTTTATTCGTGGAAATACTCTTTGACCCTTGGAGAGGGGCTCAGGGTGCTTTGGCCTTGGCCTTTCGGGGGTGCTTAGGACTTTTTGCATGCTATATAATCTGGTGTTAGAGAGTTCAGAGGGGGGGGGGTGGCATCAGGAGATTACAAGCTTAAAGCCCGAGACGAAGTGTCCGTTTTCTTTTCCTCATGGCTGATGGGACGCAAGTTAGTGGTACTTTACTCGTGTGATGCATGTAGATTTCTAGCAGCCAGCTTTCCTTGTGTACTTCAAGGAAATTCTAGACTTTTCTTGCAGGAGAGTTGTGAGACGTAGTCTAGAAGGCTGAAATTAGATTTTTGCAATTCTTGAGTAGTATTGCTCTTCCGGTGAAGGAAATAAAATATATCACATGTACGTCTGAATGTAACGTGGGTTTTGTAATAACCCACTAAAGGCTAAAACTGCAATATAGTGGTAGAAAGGTCGAACCCACAGGGACAGAGGAACACACAGGGTACAAAGTGTCACGTTTAACAGACTATTGAGGAGTTTGAATTCTCAGGCGACTGTCACTCCCAGAAATACTGCAAGTTTCCACTCGGAGCTCACTCGGAGGTCGCACAGTGCAGCGTAACACACACACACACACACCTGAAACTACAGAAACACAACCCAAAGATCCGTTAGGACCTCTACTCAAGATTTCAGGGGGAAGTCTCTCGCAAGTGCACTCGGCAAAGCTGTGGGTAGTGACTCCCAACTCCGGCTTTTACAACCCTTCCACTAGTTTTCTGCTAGCGTAGGGAACCCGGTTTGGACTTCCTACTTCGGATCGAAGTCACTCACACACGGTGAACAACACTCTCAACTCACAAAACGCGCAGAGAACACAGGCTCTCACGGAGGGACTCACTGAGAAACGTTCCAGTAACACACCATAACAGTCTATTGAAGAGTTTGAATTCTTATGCACTTGTCATTCCCAAAAATACTACAGGGTTACCTGAAGGCACCTGCTGCAGCGTAACCTGAATTTACAACCAAGGCTTACACGAAGTAGCAAAACTTCACTTTGGCATTTAGGGGAAAAATCCCGAAGGAGTACAATCAGGAACAAACACTCGAAGGTGTAGGGGCGAAACTATTCAAGTATCTAACTAGTCACTGGCTCTGAGCATCGGCAATCACCCGCAAGTGTAGATCCGAACTACTCAAGTCTCTAACCAATGTACTAGCTCTGAACATTCGGCCGAAGTCCTTCAGCTACACAATGCGGATCGCTAAGGTGTAGCTCCTCTAGCGTGGTGACAAAACTAAGGACACAAACACGCAGAGAAAATGAGTTCCTGATCTGCACATCCGAAACTGGAGAAATCTCAAGGCAAGACGCCTTGAACTACTTTATACCTTCTAAGTCCTAACTAACACTACACTGCAATGCCATGGTGCGAGCCGCAACAGATCCTACACCTGAGGAGTCGGCGGCTGCCTTCCCCTCTAACTTACAACCTAAATCTAGCCCTAACCCTAAATCTGAATCCTAAGCCTACTGTACAGAGCCGCAAGCGTCTTTACATCCAAGATCTGAGGCTGAAAATTTGCAAGCATGCGTGGCCGGCTGAGACCAACGGCCCCACCAAATTTCAGATCCATCCAACCGTCCATCCTAAAGATATGGGCCCAGCAAGATCTCTGAACCTAGGCCAAAATTCCTTTTCCAAAATCCGAGGTCCGGGGGATCCACATGCCGCTTGAATGCCGTTCCCGCGATAATGGGTAACGGCCTGCTCCTCACGTGCGACTTCACGCCACGCCGTTCTGCGTCCCACACTTGACATAATCCCGCCAACTTCCGCCATCGGGAATCTTCTGCCACGTGGCACCGAAGGTCCTTGAGCCGAAGGCGGATCTTCTGCCGGCTCCTTTCCTTTCTTGCGCTGCACCGGAGGTGAGTCTCGCCTATGCGTAGGCGCTCGCCTATGCGCAGGCAGTCTCCCGTCCGCATGGAGTCGCCTATCTATAACAGTCACCCCGTCGCTCATAACTCACAGATCCCTGCTTCGTTTGAAACGTTCTTGGGCTCGTTGAAACAAGCGTGTTGTGCTCTTTCCAACGAGCCCCTAACTAAGTCAAACCGTTAAGAATTGAGAAAGTTATGACGGTTTTACTTTTCCACCAAATGCGTTTGCCTATACACAGGCTTCCACTCGCAACTCGCCTATGCGCAGGCCTCCTACTTGCAACTCCTTGGGCCGAAGGCCTCTCTATCTGTTATCGTCGAAGGCCCCTCTATATGTTAACGCCGAAGGCCTTTCTATATGTTAACGCCGAAGGTCTCTCCTAACCATGACAGCCACTTTCGACGCTCATAACTCAGTGACGCCTTATCCGTTTCAAGAGTTCTTGGTCTCGTTGGAACGAGCGTCGCAAGCTCTTTCCAACAAGACCCTAACTGAGTCAAGACGTTACGAATTGAGAAAGTTATAAGGGATTCACTCTTCCTCCGAAGGATTGCACAATCTACATTCTATATTGAATATTCAATGAATGTGATTCGTGCACCACATGGCCTGTTCAATTCTATACATATGGAAAGATTATGACAATTTATTGACAGAAGAAAATGTAAAGAGAGTTTTTGTGAGAAAATATAATGAAGAATATTTTAAAAATTTTCTAGTTTCACTTTTACCTTTTTTTACTACTTTGATGAAAGGTTGAATAGTCATCATATTTACTTTGTATGAAAATGACTGATAGGAAGTGTGGAGACATCAATACACATGGATGACTTACTAAATGCTATCATGAGTGTGATGGAGAAAACTTAAGAAAGCTAGATCCACATGAGGTGTAAGAAAAAATAGAACTATTATTCATACAAACAACAAGCTTCAATAAAA